CGTAAAGGTACATGGATTTTATTGAATTTGTTCTAGCATTATAATAACATTTAGGTCTAGAGATGCAGACATATTGTCGTAATTAGTTACGACCTATTTTAAAACAGATTGTTTTTATTGAGGTAATTAAGTTACGGCCTAATTACAACAATATGTCTGCACCTCTATTTAGGTTATAAGTTCTTGAGATCACAAAATTATGGGACTAGTTCTGAAATGTCCCTAAAAAGACTAGTCATAGATCCGGCCCGAACCAGTTTATTGTGACCCAATTAAGATCCCTAATTCCCCGTTATATTTAATCCTTTGACATTGTTCTCTTGTAGCATATTATAGGTAGTAGTTAGTCTTGCAAAATGATATCATAATTCCCAGCTTCGTTTTTTTATTAATGGTAATTCAACCTGGAATCCGCCAGTTTTAATATAATGCGAAATATAACGGGGAATCTTGAAAATTTTGATTTTAGGTAAGTTAATTAAAGCTATAATGTTTAGATTTTAAAGAGTTTTCTGAAAGCTATCAAGCTGTAGCTGCATTTTTTTTTAAAAAATACTACTATGATAGACTTAAATTGTATAAATTCAATTGAATAAAATAAACCAGTGACGAGAAAGTTACCCTATGGCTTTATAACCCAATAACTATAGTTTATTGATTTTGCTTAAATCAAATATCTTAAGTATGTTAAGATGGGTTTTGTAAAAAAATTTTTTTAATACATTTATGTTTTCGTGTTTTTGCAGTTTTTAAACCAGTTTATAAAATTAATTTGATTGTAATTGAGATATTATAAAGAACTTCCATTAAGGCTACTCCGACTTCAAAATTAAGCTTGTTAAAAGAAAGATCTAAGGAAGTTAGGGTAGTGTTTATGCAAAAAGCCTCAGCTAATGCCATTTCTCCACTAAATTCAATTTCATTGCGGCTAATATTTAAAGAAGCTAAAGTGACATTTTTACAAAGAGATTATGCTAATGCTTTTACTCCTTCAAAGCCAAATTGATTTTCCTTAATATCTAAGGATCTCAGAGTATTGTTCATGAGAAGAGCCCTTACAAGTGCTTCTCCTCCTTTAAAATTAATCTTATTATTGCAAATGACTAAGTCAGTCGAAGTAGTATTTGCAAAGAGACTTTTCCAATGCATTTATATCCTCAAAACCAATATTGTTATGACCGATAACTAAATAAATTAATATGCTGTTTTTACAAAGAGTCTCTAATGCTTTTCCTCCTTCAAAACCAGCATTATTATAACCGTATGTAATGATGTTAAAGTAGTATTGTTATGAAGCTTCTGCTATTAGTTTTACGTCTTCAGAACCAAGATAGCAATTATGAATACTTAAATATTCCAAAGTAGTGTTTATTTTAAAAATCTCCGCTAAAATTTTTACACCTTCAAAATCAATTGAACCAATAGATAATTTGGTTAAAATGTTGTTTTTAAAAAGAACTTCTAATAATGCACTCATACAAATAACGTCCCATAGACCAAGAATGTATATATAAGTCAAGGCTAATGCCTTTCCCAATTCAAAATTACTGTTATAAAAGTTAATATATAATTCAGTTAAATTGTTGTTTTTATAAAGAACTTTCGCTAATGCTTCCTCTTCTTCAGAGCCAAAATGATAAAATGAAAATCTAGGGAGGTCAAACTAGTACTTTTGCTAATATCTTTCATCAATGCTTTTATGTATATTATCTCGGAACCAAAACTATAGGTTAAATATTCAAGTTCTTTACTTGTTCAAAGAAACATTGTATTTGTATCAAAGCACATTTAATGGCATCTTCAATGCAAGTTAAATCATTAGGTCCATTCATATTACATTCTTTAGCAAGCCGTCACTGGCCAAGTAAGAGCCAACTGATACAGTATAACTTGTATACTCCAATAACGGTCTTGGATAACTTGAAATGATAATTTTAAAGGGCGTTAATAGAGATTTTTCTTCAGTATTTAATGCTAGAAGATATATTCTTATACAAGAAGGCATGATCATTTTAAAAAATTTACGAATAGTATTATTTTCGCACGTACATACGTACGTAGCTTTTACATTAACTAGTGCACTGGCACATGATTATTGCACCTTCATTACGAAAGTTTTGCCAGCACTATGAAAGTTTTGGCCAACGTTATTTTAAAAATTACGCAAATTTCTACCCTATAGAGCTGGAGTCCTTTGAATATTCATCACGGTTATTCAATGAATATTCGCGGATTTTAGTCATTCGCGAATAATAATGAATAAATATACACATTTTACATGGACATTCATAGAGAATTCACGAATATTCAGGAAATTCGCAGATATTCATAGATAATTTGCGGATATTCAGAGAATTCATAGAGAATTCGCGGATATTCATAGAGAATTCGCGAATATTCAGAGAATTCGTGGATATTCAGAAAATCTCATGTGATTACGTTTCTCATTCGCACAGAATATTCACACAAAATTATTCGCACAGATATTTGAACGGAAATTATTCGCACAGAATATTCTTAAATAATTCTCGGGTTTTGTGTAACAGAATATTCACATACTAATTGAATATTGTTACGACCAAGGGAGAGACTTTATATTAATACAGCCAATTCAGCTTGGGGTCGTAAGCATTAAAGAGAAGAAACCAAGTTTTTATTATCACACACAAGGCACCAAAAAGCACCAATAATATATCCCAACAGTGTACCCGGTACACTATGGTCCTCTAAATTATCCCTTGTCCCAACTAAACCCAAAGAAGTACTTCCTAAAAACCCTCTAAAAACCTAAAATCCTAACTTAAAATCTAATAGATCCTATTTACAAGAATATCGCTCTATATATATATTTGAATTAGACTCAAATTGACTATCTTGCAAGATGCAAAGTATAAACCAATTCTATAAATATCGTAATGATCGACAAAGTATACTATAATTGCTTTGATCATATGCTCAAATCTCAATATAAACCTTTAGGTTATAGCATAAACGTTCTAAACCTTCAAAATATATATAAGCACATTGAATTCAATAAAGAACGATAGTTCTCATCCACTCTTAATTACCAATAAATAATAAAATATATCTCCTTATCTGAATGTTCCCTTGTGAAGTATTCTCCAAATTCGACTTGTAACTTTAATAAACCTTTCGAGACTCAATTCGACTGACTGAATTGACTTGTAACTTCGACTTGGTTTATTAAGACTCGGATTCTGAAACGGTTGTGGAATCCAATATTGTCATTCACATTGGTGACCTGCGAGAGACGATAGTCATTAGACTTTAAGTTATTCCCACTATCACTTGATCACCATCCGCTTTTGTCACCACCCCCTTGATCATTACTAATAACAGCATCACCCGTCATTACATCACCTGTTATCATCCCTGCTGATATTAACCATAACGTCATATTGCACAATTAGTCCTCGAACAATTATAAAAGACCCTCTTCGCTACTACTAAGTTTATCTCTATCTCCCCGTACACGGTTACAGTACCAATCACCTACCGCTGTTAAACACCCACGTGCATATTTTTCAATAAATAAATAAATTATTGCATAACCAAGTAATTGACGACTATACTAAAAATTTCCATATTTGTATTACATTTTTTTTATGACTTAAATTTTAACGATAGTCTCATCCGTAAAAAAAAAAAAAAGTGCGTGAAAAAGAAAAGGTTTAAACTGATAACGTAAACTATACAAATGAAAAAAATAGTATGACCGTCAATTCATAGAAAGACTTTTATGATTGACTATTTAAATCAATTTAATTTTATATTATTTAAAGGACATCTTGTAGTAGTATAAGTAACACCTATTCAGATTAATCATACATCTTATTAATGGTGTCACCTATGTTGTAAGAGATCATATTTAAATACGCGTAACTCATCAATTCTAATCCCAATTCTAATTTACTTAGTGAGAAAAAAAAGTTAAACCGAACTTTTTTGTAATCTTTATATAGTTTACCCTGAATGTTCATTAACGTTAAGAATATGATCCCGATAAAGTTAGCTTACGTTTGCTATGATGTTGGCTGATCTAATCCCCTTTCAGCAAAATAATTTTCGGAAAAGAATATATATTAAGTAAATCATTCAATGCACCACGTTTGATAGTTTCTAAATTATCATCGAGGAAAAGTGTTGGAAAAATATTAAAGAGCACTTTAACTAAGAATTTGGATAGTACCATGCCAACACTGGTCAAACCAAAAAAATTCAATATCGAATACTTGTCAATTGTTGTTAGAAATGTATGTTAATCGCTTATTAAATGGCAGCTGAATAGTAACTATTCAGCATGTCGAATTTTTTTTTATTATATATACGACCATCTCACAAATTTTAATCAGAAAAAAGAAATATTTGATTTCTGCATTTAACCTAACTTTGATATATATTTGATCTATAATGAGGGATCCAAACATAAAAATAAGTAAATATCGTATGATATGTTTCATTGTTTTGGCGGCAACTATCGGATGTTTTGTGTATTTTACAACAAACAGTAATAATTGTTCAGACAGTAGCAATCTTTCAAACAGTAACAATATTTCAAACAGTGACAATCTTTCAAGCAGTAACAATCGTTCAATCAGTGACAATCTTCCAAACAGTGACAATTATTCAAACAGTAAATTATTCAAACGGTGATTATTCAAACATTAACAGTCATTCAAAGAGACAAAATAGCAGTAATGATACTCAATATTTCACATGGGATAATAAACCTGTCAATTTGACTATTATCCCAAACGCCGCATATAAAAAAATATTTTATGGAATGGATTATGGTCCTGTAAATGCTACTTATCCTTTGTGCGGAAACACTTTGGGTGATGTTATCGAAGATGTGAAAATAATTTCTCAAATAACTAACAGAATCCGGGTTTATGGAATGGATTGGAATGGATTGTAATATCGCTGATTATACTATGGAAGCAATCCTTAAATTAAATTTGGGCATGACTATTGTTCCCACTATTTGGGTTGATAATAATGATACTACTTATCAAAGACAATTTGATCTTTTATTTAATTTCATCGAAAATATGGTGTAGATAAAATTGATGGTATTTCAGTTGGTAATGAAGGTACTTTTCAATTTTTTATATGCAATATTTACTAAAAAAAAAAAATTATATTAGGTCTAAATTAAATAATTATTAAAATATTATCTCTTATATTTTATCTTGGTAGTTATCATTCGTAACGATATTCCTGCGCAAACATTGTATGGTGTATTTCGGATGTTAGAACAAAGATAAATTCGATGGGCTTTAATAAAACAATTCCTGTTTTTACTTCTGAAACTCTTTCAAGTGTTAATATGACCTTTGTAAATGCTGTAGATGAAGTGTGGGTTAATGTTCATCCATATTGGTATGGAGTTAATATAACCGATGCTGCATCATGGACTTGCTGAAATTGCTAATAAAGATTCTATTATATCTGAAGTTGGTTGGCCGACTGACGGCGATATACATGGTTTTGCTGCTCCTAGTGTCCAAAATTTACAAACACTTTTAGATACTTTTGTTTGTTTAGCTAATTCAAAAGGTATTAAATATTACTATTTAGAAGTTTTTGATGTTCCTTGGAAGGCTGCAGCACTTGGTCCAGTGGAAGGAAGTTGGGGATTGTTTCATCCTGATAGATCCATGAAATCCATTGTTCTTCCAGATTGTGTTTTTTAAAATTTTATTCATGTTATAAAATAGCTAGATACATGTAATGTTAGGGTATTTAAAATATTGATAAATCAAATCATAGTCGGGGTTACAAGGTTTTTCAGTAATTTCTGAAAATTTTACTTAATTTTTATGTTCGTTATTTTTTTTAAATTCACTGGTAAAGGTACGATTTTTTTTTAATTT